AAATAATAAATAAAATAAAAAAAACAGAAAAAAGACAAGGAAATGAGAACAAACAAAGAGAAAGAACAGAAAAGGACGAGAGGAAAACAAACAAACAAACAAAAAAAGAGAGGGAAGTAAGGCGGACCAGAGCAATTTGGGAACGCACCGCCAGATGGCATTGCCTCGGGTGGAACAGCTGATCGCGAACGAGAAAGAAAACGGGGCATCGGGATTGCGTCATCGGCCGCACATGGCAACAGCAGTCAGTGATGCTTTGGCTTTTACTTTTTCTCGCCCGAAAATGGTGATGACTGTGGTGAGTGATGATGGTGATGAAGATGGTGATGACTGATGTGATGATGTGGTGGTGATTGATGATGATGATGGTGGTGATGAAATGAATGATGACGATGGTGATGACTGTAATGATGATTAGGATTAGATGAGAATGTGATAATAATGGTAGTAATGATAATGCTGATAATAATAATGATAATATAATATCAATAATTATATCAACATAATAGTAATAATACCAATAATATAATGAGATCATTATCATTATAACAGCGACAACAAACAATAATAATTAATAAATAATAATAATAATAATAATAATAATAAACCAATAAATAATAATAATAATAATAATAATAATAATAAATAATAAATAATAATAATAAAAATATTAATAACAATAATAATCCCAATAATGAGCAACGGCAATAATTAAAAAAATCCTCAAAGCCGAAACAAACAAAAACAAACAAACAAAGCGAGCGCGGCCTCCCCTGGCACTTCCGCCCGGGCCAGGAAGCGCGGGCGAGGAAGGCTCCGGAGGGAAGGGTGAAGGGGCGGCGAGGGTCAGGGCGTGGCGCTGCCGTGGGCGGGGAGGGGGGGGAGGAGGAGGACTCTCACTCACTCACTCACTCACTCACTCCTCACTCACTCTCCTCTCTCTCTCTCTCTCTCTCTCTCTCTCTCTCTCTTCTCTCTCCTCTCCTATATATATATATATATATATATATATAATATATATAATATATATAACATATATAATATATATATATATATATATATATAATATATATATATAATATATACACATACATACACATACAAACACACACATATATGTGTGTGTGTGTGCGTGTATGTATATATGTGTATGTGTGTGTGTCTGTGTGTGTATGTGTGTACGTTTATGTGTGTGTAAGTATGTGTATATATTTGTATATATGTATGTATATATTCAGTATATATATATATATATATAATATATATATTATATACATAATAATATATCATATAAATACATATATGTATATATATATGTACATATATATATATATATATATATATATATATATATATATATATATAAACATATATATCTACGACACACAAGCCAAATCCCGCACGTGCTCGGTTCGTGCGCCCAAGCCAACGCGCCTCACACTTCACCTTCGACGCCTTCCTCAAACCCCCGCCAACCCGACCCCCCCCCCCCCCCCCCCTCTCTCTCTCCAGTAGCAGGACGCGCATCAAGAAAATAAAGGGTAAAATATCCCGCCGCCCGCGAGACCTCCGGGATGCTGCGACGCCGTGTACGGAAGATGGAGGGAGGGGGGGGGGGGGGGGAGAAGGGAAGGGGTGCAAATGGACATGCAAGGACAGACTGCTTTGATGAGGAAGAAGGATGGAATGACACATGCACATACACACGCACACGTGCACACACATACACACGTACGTGCGCGCGCGCATACACACGTACGCGCACACACACACACACACACGCGCGCACACGCACACACACACACACATATGCGCACGCGCGCGCACACACACACACACATATAGATATATATACAGAGAGAGAGAGAGAACAGGCAAAAAAAAATAAATAAAGCGAGACAGAAGAGAATGAGAAATAGGTAGGTGAAAAGAAATAAGAAAAAAAGAAAAAAAGTAAAACTAGTAACACTCCAGTTGCGAGTTAATTGCATTCTTTGAGCAAAAAAGGTGTTAACAAGCATGTTTAGCTGGTATTCAATAACATAAAAATATCATCATACTGTTTATGACAAATAATCATTACCAACACCCACTATTAACATCATCAGATCTTTTATAATCAACGTGACGATCGCCAACATTACTCATATCATTCTCAATACCTGTATGAAAACTACAATTATTAATATTCTTGCTAATCACGTCAATAACTTCGATATCATTACAATATCAAAACCATCGTTATCGTCATAGTTATCATTATCAATACCATACATAGAACTTCAAATATTTACTATAATCTTCATTATTACTTCTATGCTTACCATTTCCATTATTATTAGTAGTATACTTGTCAATATTCTACCAATAGCATTATCATTGCTAAGAATACTAACCTCTAACCATTTTTACCATCACTTATGCTTATCATCACATTCACTATATTCATAGTTACTCCATTATCCTTATTAATACCATAATCACAATCACTACCATTATCTTTATCCTCTTCAATAAAACGACTCCACCATTATCACAATCATCGCCAATAATCACAATCATTACCATAATTACCACAGTATTTTCTGCGACAACTACTACCAACAGATTCCTCTATTACAACGTCCCCAACACTGAATTATATCATTTAAAGGGACTTCTTTCCTAATTTAAAGGGACTTATTTCCTTTCAGGTGATTATGTGTACGGAGCGGCGTGTCCTTCTGTCGGTGCTCAGTCAATTATTAACCACAAACCGTTACGTGTCATAAAAACGGTAGAGAAAAACGTTTGAAGTAAGGGAGGGGGGTGGGGGTGGGGGGAGGTTACGTTTCAATACACCCCTCCCTTCCCTCTCCCTTTTACTCTCCCTCCCCCTCCCTCTTCTTAAATTGCCCTTCGACCTTGCCATTTGACCTTAAGTTTTTTTTTTCTTTTCTTTCTTTTTTTTTGAGAAATAACCATACTCCTACACGGTTGCTCTCCTTCCTCGGTAAATTAATTTGCTTTGTATCGCCATGACTGTTTCAGCAACACACACACACACACACACACACACACACACACACACACAACACACACACACACACACACACCACACACACACACACTCACTCACTCACTCACTCACTCACTCACACACTCACAACACACCACACACACACACACACACACACACACACACACACACACACACACACACACACACTCACACACACTCACACACTCTCTCTCTTTCCACACAAAAGCACGTACTTCGCTATATGTCTAAGAAATTACCCAAAGCCCTTATTTGGAAGGTGGTTCGAAAAGCCTGAACCGCTTGTTAAAATTCCGTTGTTGCTGAATGCCGCTGATACGGAAAATAATAATAATGATAATAAGTGTAGATAATTAGCGATAATGATAATAATGATAATTGATGACAATGTTAATATCATTATCTTAAATCATAAACATATCATAATAACCAAACAAACATGATGATGATAATAATAATAAATAATACTAAACTTAATAATACTACTAATTAATAATATAATAATAATATAATATAATAAAATAATAATAATAATATAATAATAAAAAACAATACCAATAATAATGATACGAAAAGAGAGAAAAAGAAGGACAGAAAAAATAAAAATAATAATAAAATCGCACGGCGGCGCTCTCGTGTGATCTGACCCCGCTCCTACGGAACCTCCCACATGCTCTAATTCAAAAATATTCTCTCTCCTCTCTCACCTGTCTCCTCTGTCGGCCTTCGTGTGTCTACAATGTTCATTTCACTCAATTTACCCTTTCTCTTCGTCACTTCTCGCATTCGTCTCGCTCTCCCTATCCCCCCTCTCCATATTCTCTTTACCTATATTCACCTCCCTTTTTCTTTCACCTCTCCTCTCCCTCTTCCTCATCCACTCTCATAAATTTTCCTTAAATTATCCTTCCGGTTCTGTCCCACTTAAGCCCTAATCTGCCGAGCCACGCTCTCGCCATTTTCCCTCCCCCTCTTACCTCTCATGTTAGCAACTCGCCCCCACCCCCACTTCCTATCCCTCCTCTTACTCCTTCTTACTTTTCCGCGCGCCTATCATCCTCTTCTTCTCGGTGTGCTCTTCCTTCTATTCTCTCCTCTCTTTTCCCTCTTTTCTCTCCCTTTCTCTTCATACTCTCTCTACTTCTCTTTCTCTTAAGTTTCTTGTTCTTCTTTTTTCTTTCCTTCCTCCCTCTCCCTCTCTGCTAAGCTCGTCTCTTCTTTCGTGTCTCTGTTAATCTCTGTCATCTCTCTGTCCTTTCTGATCTCTGTCTATGGTGGTGCTTGTGTGTACTCTTGTCTCTCGTTCTCTGATATCTAGTACATGTGGTCTGTCTCTGATCTCGTTTGGTCATTGTGTATTGTGTAGGATTGATTGTCATCGTGTTTCGCTCACGATATATCGTCGGATTCTCTCTCTCTTCTCTCTTCTCTTCTCTTCTCTCTCTCTGTATGTGATCTCGGTCTATGATTTGTATTGATGTCTCTCGTTCTGTTATTGATCTCTCTCTTGATTCGTCTGATTCTCGATAGGAGGGTAGTGTGTCTCTCAGTTCTTAGGTCTCGTGTTCGTGTACTCTGTCTCGTTGGTGATCTTGTATCTGAGATCTTAGATTTGTTGCATTGTCATCTATTCATCTTCAATTCTACTGGTGCTCATTTGTATCTTGATGTGACTACTTCTATTCTCATTCTCTCTCTCTCTTCATTTCTCGTGCTCGTGTGTTGATTGTCTATGTCATTCTGTGTATCATCTTGCTCTCTGTTACATATCGGTCATTCTATTTTCATTCTATTTGTTCGTTGCATATTCCTCTTATGTTCATCTAATATCTTGGATCTTGAATCTGATGCCAATACTTTCATTGATATCTCGTCACTAATCTTTTGCGACGGCGCTCCGCTGAAGTTCCCGTCATTCTGAAGTGAAGGTTTTCCTTATGCTGTCATCGTTACACCTTACTTTTTAGTCTCAACAATATTACGACTCGCTCTACTTCCATGCACCCAGCCTCACGATGTGCCAGAGCACCTACCACGCAGAACTCTCCTTTCAAAACGACTTTCATTTCAAAGCTCTCATGGCTACCCATATAATCTCTCTTATCAAGTATCGGCTTCATACTCGCAAAAGCGGTAACTGGATCCCTCGCGCACACGCACGCATTCATATTTCCACATAATTAAATTATAAGACGAACACGCACTTCGGTCCATTAATCTCCTATAGCTAACGCCTATTACATATCCTAGACCGTTTATACTCGCCCTTAGATCTCTCGTTATCGTTTATTTATTATCCATAGACCTCTTCTCCACTTCCACGCGCTCTCTCGAGGGTTAATTATTGGGCCAATCGGGTCTTAATGGCGTAGAAACGCGCCCAATCTCGCGCTGCGCCTCGCACCCGTCCTTCCTCGTCACCGACTACCTACACGGTGTTCGAGTCACGGGGCTGGCATCCTGCCGCTCTCGCTCCTCTCTAGGGACTCACTTTCTCCTCTCCCTCTTAGAAAAAAAAATGTACTCCATAGAATACCACACACCATATAATAGCGTTCGTCTGACCCACTTTGGTTCGGATGAGCTCATGTACTCTCCCCAGTGCTCGCCTACCTTTCTGCACGGCTCTTCCTCCCTCTCCCTCCTCTCCTACTGGACTTCGCTTGGCTGTTCCTCGAACCGGGCGGTCTCATCCAGTTTTGGTCTTTACCCTGTCCATGTCCCCCCCTCTCCGTACCCCAACTCATGTCTCTCTACCTTTTCCACATTACCCCTTTTTACCTCATACCTACCGCTACACATACTCCCCACCCATCTCTTTCATACCCAACACAGGTACCCATATCCACCATCCCTCTTATACCCACCACAGCCTACATATACCCTCCCCCACCCTCTCCTACCCCCCTCCTCCATACCCCAATCGATCTTCCATGTCCTTCCCATACCCCACTCATACTCTGCCATCTCGACAGTCTGGGCGGGGGGGGGGAATGGATGCCTCATGGATAAAATATGCGAGCTGGAATTTTTGACTTTACTCGAATTATTGTCAAACAGTCGCTTGGGGAGCCGCTGATTTCCTCTTTTTTTTCTTATTTCTCCATTCCTATTTCCTTTTATTGTTCCTGATCTCCCTATTTTTTCTTTTTATTGTTTTTGTTTGGTGTGTGTTTTCGTTTGAATTTTCTTTGTCGTTTTTTTGTTGTTTGTTTCTTTCTTCTTGATTTCTGTTGTTTTTGTATTATTCTTAGTTTCCATTTCCAGCTTTTTGTTTCGCCTTTGTATGTCTTCTTTCCCATTTTATTTCTATTTTTGTTCCATTCTCAAATACTGTTTAGTCTGTTTCACTGTCTGTTTGTTTGTTTCTGTCTAACTTTTTTATTTTTATCTTCTGTCTTTTGCTTTTTTCCTTAATTCACAATGATGTTTTGTTTGTTTCTGTTCGGTCAGTGTAGTGTTGTAATGCGTCACTGTCTGGTGATATCTGTTGTCTTCTCTCTCTAATTTTCTCTCTCTTCTTATCTCTTCTTTTCTTTTTCTCTTCCCCTTCTTCTCTCTCACTTCATTTCCTTACTCACTCACCTCAATCTCTCACTCTTCTTTCTCTTTACAATCTATCCTACAATCTATTTATCTATCCTGTTATCTCTCTATCATCCTCTCTTCTTCTCTCTCTCTTTCTCTCTCTCTCTCTCTCTCTCTCTTTCCTCTTCTCTCTCTCTCTTCACTCAGTCATTCAGTCACTCAGTCACTCTTCTTCTCTCTCTCTCTTCTCTCCTCTCTCTCTCTCTTATAATTTCTCTCATTCTCTTCTCTTCTCTCACTCACTCACTCACTCACTCACTATCATCATCATATCTCTCTCTTCCCTCTCCACCTTCCTCTCTTTTCTTTTTCTTTTCTTCTTCTCTTTATTCTCTTCTTCTCTCTCTTTCCCTCTACTCATATCATAAGTATCCATAGATGAATACAGATGAGTGAGCCCTTCATCCATTAGGCTTCATCACCATAACTCCTCTGACTTTAAATCTGGTTCTAGAGTTTATCGCTTCAAAAAAAAAAAAAAAAAAATAATAAATAATAAAAAAAGTATCTTTTAGCAATATGTTTATTTCGAGGGCGATTTCGAGCAGTCACTTCAGAGGTTCATCATTTTAATGGAGATTAGTTCGAGTCATTAAAGGATTAAATGAAATAAATGCGAGTGTTGAAAAAACTAATATATATATATACATCAACATTTATCACCACAGAGGGATATTTACACGCACCTGCACCGGGTTTTGCTTTTACCTATAATATTTTGCCGGCAAATATCGCATTACTATAATCAAAACACATTTTCTAATTATGATAGTTTCAAACATAGTTAATGCAGTCCTGAGCGGCGTCCATAATATCTCTCTAAATGCGAACATGACACAGATATTTCGAGAAATAAAAGTTGTTTATCCCCTCCTCCCCGGTGTTGCCATCAGCGGTTCCCACACTTATCCCGGACTTACGGGGACTGGGCTCATTAGCGGAGAAGAGGTAATGCTCAGGGGAATTTTTTCTATGGCGGGGGGGGGGGGGCTGTGGTGTCGAGCCTATTAAGGAGGGGAAGTGACGGAAGAGGGAGGTGCGGCGTGCGCGCGCGCGCGTGTGCTTGAGGGAAGTTCAGCACTATTACACACACGGTAACGAACACAAACAAAACACCCACAGACGAACAACATACACACAAAACACCCACAGACACACATACACACACCCAAACACACCAAAACACGCACGCACACACAAACACCCACACACAAACACACATACCACACACACACACACACAACACACACACACACACAAACACACACTTTACACATACATTTACGAAATCGATAATATATAGATAAGACAATATGTATACACTTGACGCAAACCACTCACTGCTTGCCCTCCAAAAGTTATGACGTCACGCACCGCTTTGCAAAGACCACTTGAAGCCGTTTTCGAATCGAATTCCCGGATGTTGATTATTTGGTGATGCTTTTTTTTTTTTTTTTTTTTTTTTTTCTTTTTTTTTTCTTGTCTCTCTGTTCTTCGCCTCATCTTTTTCATTATCTCATTTTACTTATCGTATTAATCAGTTTATATTATTTATTGTTTGATTTATTATTTTTATGTTATTATTATTTTTTTTTTTTGACCATTGCTTTCTCGCTCATTCTTATCATTATCTTCATTGTCACTATCGTTATTATCAGTAATTATTATAATTATCATTCGTATCAGTATTATCATTATTATCATCATTATCATATCATTATCTTATTAGTATATAATATATATATCATTAATATTACTATTATCATTATCATCATTGTTATCTTTATCATCTTCATCATTTTAATTCTTGATATTGTATTCTCTCTGATTAACCCTTTCTGCCTGTCTGTTTTCAGTTTCATTCTGCGCTCTCTTTTGCTTCCATTTCATGTCCTCTTTTATTGTTCTTTCTTCATCCACCTAATCCTCTCTTCCTATTCCTTCTCACCCATGTCTCTGATCGTTCCTTCTTCCTCTTCCTCCCTCTTTCCACCTTTCCTTCTCTATCTCTTCTCCCATGCCCTTCCTTCTACGCATTCTCACTCTGTCTACCTCCTTCCTCGTCCTCTTCCTCTCCCTATTAATATATCTACCTCCTCCTCTCCTCTCTCCGTTCCTCTTCTCCTCTCTCTTCCGTTCCTCCTCCTCCTCCTCCTCCACCCCCTCCTCCCTCTCCTCCTTCTCTTCTTCTCTCCTCCCCCTCTTCCCCTTCTTCATCTTCTTTTCCTCCCCTCCTTCTTCTCCTCCTCCTCCCACCCCTCCTCATCATCATCATCATCCTCATTCATCATCATCAACCCCCCCCCCTCTTCCCTCTCCTCCTCCTTTCTTCTTCTCCCCTCCTCCTTCTCCTCTTCATCTTCTTTTTCCTCCTCCTTCCTCCTCCTCCCCTCCTCATCGTCTCCTTTCTTCTCTTTCTCTCTTCCTTTCTCTCTCTTCCTCTCTTTTTCTCTCTCTCTTTTCTTCTCTCTCCTCCTTCCCCTACCCTACTTTTCCTTCTTTTTCCACCCCAGCCTCTCAGACCCCCTTCAGCGGCACTACGTCCCTCTTTGGTATTATTTTTATAGAAGGAACCTATCATACAATCTCGAATAGATAATTTGAGTCAAGGAGAAAGTCGAGTTTGATTGCGATCCCTCCTTTGCGTGCTGGCTGTTTCGTCTGTCATTTCGTCGTCTGTAGTGTCTGTCTTGCTTTCTGTCTGTGTGTCGACTCTCCACCTTTCTTTTTTCTTTCTTTCTCTTCTTTCTTTCTCTCTCTTCTTTACTTCTCGCTGTACTCTCTGTCTTTGTCTCTTCTGTTTTTCTTTTTTGTTCCTTTCGGCTTCTTTTTTTTGTCTTTCTTTCTTCTTTCTGCTCTCTCTCTCGTCTCTCCTCTCCTCTCTCTCTCTCTCTCTCTCTCTCTCTCCTCTCTCTCTCTCTCTCTCTCTCCCTTCTCTCTGTCTGTCTCCCGCTGTCTGCTGTCTTCTGCTGTCTCTCTCTCTCTTCCTCTCTCTCTCTCTTGTCTCTGTCCGCTCTGTCTCTCTTTCTGTCTCGTCTGTTGTCTCTCTTTCTTTTCTTTTTATTAATTTTTCTTCTTGTCTCTTTCTCCTTTCTCTTTTCTCTTTGTTCTTCTCTTCTTCCTCCTCTTTTCTTCTGTTTCCTTTTTTTTCTTTTTTCTTTTTTTTTTTTTGTCCTCTCTACTCTCTCTCTTCTCCTCTCCTCTCTCCCCTCTCTCTCTCTCTCCCTCTCTCCTTCTCTCTCTCTCTCTCCCTCTCTCCCTCCCTCTTCCCTCCTCTTAACCTCTTCTTTCTCTTTTTTTTTTCTTTTGTGTGTATATTAGTACGTCGTCACACGCACACGCCCGCCAGGCCAGCTCCCCCCCCCGCCCTCTCCAAGCAGGCGAGACGGCACAATTTATTTGTTTTTTTTAGTTTATTCTATCTTCTTGAGGATTGCTATAATATTTAATATTATCAATATGAAGCGTATAATTACTGTTCACATCAGATAATATGATATAAAAATGGATATTATTGCTTTTTGCTCTTTTT